TAATCATTAAATAAATTCATGAACCTGCAATGAACAGCGTGTCGCCAGTGAAGACTGCTTTGTCAGCGCTGCCATCCGTGACGTAGTAGCATGTGGAGCCTGTCGTGTGGCAAGGCGTATGCAGGCATTTTACGTCCAATTCACCCACCTGCAATAAAGTATTCATGATGGGCACTCCTCACATCACCTTCAGCGAAAAGATTTGAATATGCACCTTGAAGGTGTCGCCATCTCGCACTTCATTCGTGAGTGCCCCGATGCGCTTGTCGCCCCCATAGATGATTAACTTGTTGTACGCATTGGAAATTTCTTCTGTGGCACTGGCATGATCCCTCAAAATTAAGCTTTATGGCTCAAAATCAAGCTTTATGGCTTTTCGAAAAATCGCACTGCTACCAAGCCGAATGTAAGCTAGAACTGCGCGGGAGCTGCCCAAAAACATGCACCACAAACTTCCAGCAAACCGCTTTCGTTATCGTTAAGATGAAGTGGGAAGTTCTAAGTGCACAGCTATCCTAGCCTCTAATGCCCACCTTAGCTAACTGTCCATCCTGAACGACCTTCGTCCCTCACTAGCACATACTGACTAGAGCGACCCTCAGATTTAGTGGTGCTGTCGCCCAATCAAATACCAAAAGATGCTGAATGTTGCGATCACTGACAACACATCACACAGCAGTTAGGCGTAATTTCGTGAAATAGCGTGGTTCGAGTTTCGGATGATTTCAAAGCCTGGTGGAGTACCGAGTCACTGCTGAATCATGGATACTCTCACACCTCGAAAGAAGACCGCTGCCTTGAGTGCAAGAAAAAGTAATTCATAAAAATGACCATACCAGTGATGATGAGTGACCAGGGAAGAAGTGAGTGTAACGCCGGCCGCTTTCACTGCCGCATTAATCTGCAGCAACTTTTGATTAATACATTTTCATCAAAGAAACATGAAGTGTTACACAAAGAATATCTTCTGCCGAAAGAGAGAAAGGCAATTTTAACGCCTGAACCCTAAGATGTTCGTTCTTCAAAAATGCCTTACAGAATGCAGATTGACGGGATCAACCACTGCCGCTTGGCTCGTTTTCTCATCCACCAACAGATACATATAATTGTCGCTTAAAGCCGGGATCGGTATAACCTTCATTGCTCGAATGGTGCGAGATACAGAAAACTTCCGAACTAGTGACAGCAACAGATGATTCATCAACCGTACAGTGTGAACATTCGTCCACTGTACAAAGCACTTTGGGAACCGCCTGAAAATCTACGCGAGGCGCTATAAAAGCACCGAATTTGCTGACCGTTACGGTACCAGAACAGCCCATTTCTTCCTCAACTCCCAGGGAAGCCGAAAAAATGAATAGGTATTGTTGGCAGCGGATGCTGCGCTCAAATCAAGTACACAGTGGTCAGTTACGAAAGAATTTATTACAAATGAGATGCGCGAACACATACACAAAGAAACACGCGGCACTTTCAACAACGACAGCAAGGCTTATGACAGGAGCACGGCACCATCCGATAAAACTCTATCACCTGAATCATTTGTCGACAAGGAAAAATCCCTCCATCATTTTGACCAGGTGCAC